TTTGACTTGGTAAATGAAGTAGACAGTACGATGTTTTCACCCTATTTGACGATCATTATGGGTGTAAATGGAGTTTTGAACAGTAATTTCTCAAATAATGTATTAAAAATTTTCGAATTTAGTCTATTCTTATTATTTTCAAAATACATTTTTCTCTATCTTATTTTTAACCACGCGTTCTTCAAAAAAATAATATTACATGTAACCATAAAATTTTTTCTTATTTTTTAATAACACAATCTTTATTCCAAAATGTATTATTTTCAAGAAATGGATTTGCGTTAAAAATATTTTGAATGGTAATTTTTTTGATAATATGTTTAAAAAGTAGAAAAATTAAATTAAATTTACATTAAAAATATTTTATTGTATCAACGTGTGGTTAAAAACGAGAATATAAAAAAAAAATTGAAATAATGATTGTCAAGTAGGAACATAGTTTAATCACAATCTCATAGGTAAAATTTTACAAATCAACTTCAAAAACTCATGATCTGGCATCAATTAAGAACAATTACATATCTACGTACGTATATTATGTTCTGTCTTTGACCATTCCATTCATTAATTTATTTATTTGATCGTAGAATTGTGCAAACAACTTGTCTTCCAATTGGATTGTAAGCCTCTTTTTTTTCTTTATAAAATTGTTGAATTCCTCGAAGGAAGCTTCCTAGATAATTAATTTATTTGTTCCCTTTTGACTAAATTATGGTATGCCCTTGTCGACTTTCGCTCTCAACTAATCTCACGATCAGATAGACGCAAACATTTTAAATTAAAAGGGTACAATCAAATTTGTAAAAACGTTACGAAGAATTTTACATTCGAAAAAATTATACCCCGTGTAAAAATTACATTCAAAAATTTACATGGAGTATGAATTTTTCAAATGTAAAATTTCGAAAATTTTTATGTCATATCCCATGTAAAATTTTCTAATAAAATAATGTAAATTATATTGAAAAATTTGTATCGTAAAAATAATAATAATGGGTAATGCTACAGGTACATAACCATTCACATAATGGTTCACATAATTACACGTGGCATGTGATCCTGCCTTTAATTCAACTTTCACACTTACACATCAATAAGTGGATGATTGCCACGTCACCATTATGTGAACCATTATGTAGAGGG